CCTCTGCTCTGTTCTCCCGTTTCCTTCCCTCCGTCTTTGCTCAGTTTACCCATGCCCCCTAACCCTGACTTTGCTGACCCTGATCCCGACCCTGATATTCTTTAACGTGCTCTGTTGCTCTTTCGCCTTTGTTTCTTCCTTGTTCTCTGTTTTTGTCCTTTCTCTTCTCGTCGTTGTCCATTCTTCAATGGAACGTTCGAGGTTATTACGCCAATTTCCTCGAACTCCAACTTCTGATTTCGCGGTTTTCGCCCCTTTGTGTCTGTCTCCAGGAGCCAATGCTTGGTGCTCGTCCTGGTCGTTTTCGTGGCTATTCCTTTCTCTCCCCCCCCCCCCAGCCATTGCTGGGGCTTCTAATTCTTCTGCTCTTTTGATTCGGGCTGATGTTCCCTTTGTTCCTTTACTTTTTCCTTCGCCTCTCCATTGTTCTGCTGCTCGTATCTTTGTGGGGAAATGGTACACAGTTTGTTCCATTTATCTCCCCCCGAGTGTCCCGCTCTCTCTTCCTGATTTGAAACACCTCCTGGACTCCTTGCCGGAGCCTGTGCTCCTGCTGGGTGACTTCAATTGTCGTCATTCTCTTTGGGGTGACGTTCTGACGAATACCCGGGGTCGCCTCCTTGAGCCGTTTCTCCTCTCTTCTTCCCTGTCTCTTCTGAATTCTGGTGAGCCCACTCATTTGGACTCTCGGACTCGCACCCTTTCTTGTCTTGATCTTTCTCTCTGCTCTTCTTCTCTTTACTTAGATTTCACGTGGCAGGTTCTTGATGACCTCCATGGAAGTGATCATTTCCCCATCCTTGTTTCCTTTTTCTCTTTTCGCCCTTCCCTCTCTTTCCCTAGGTGGCAGTTTGCTAAGGCAGACTGGACCCTATTTACCCTCAGTGCTGCTCTCCCTGACCTCTCCCTTCTGCCTCTCTCTCGCGCTCTCCTCCTTTTTCATGACACTGTCTTCAACGCTGCCCTCCGCTCTATTCCTCGCTCTTCCTCTCGGGGTCCACGGAAGTGCGTTCCCTGGTGGAATGCGGACTGTGCTCGGGCTGTCCGCTGTAAGCGTGCAGCCTGGAAGAGGCACCGCCGTAGGCAGACGACCGATTCTTTTCTTTTCTTTCGGAAAGCGAGTGCGGTGGCCCGTAGGGCCATCCGTACGGCTAAACGTGAATGTTGGGCATCTTATGTCTCAACAATTACGTCCGAGACCCCTCTGGCCCAGATCTGGAAGCGTATCCGCAAGATAGCGGGTAAGTTCGTTCCCGATGTTTCACCGGTCCTTCACCTCCATGATACTCTTGTGGCGGACCCGTTGCAGGTCGCTTCCGAACTGGGTTCCCATTTTTCTTCTGTTAGCTCTGGTCTTCATCTTCCCCAATCTTTCCTTCTTCGTAAACCTGTCCTTGAGTCTCGTCCTTTAGATTTCTGCACTCATCTTCAGCTTCCCTATAATGATCCCTTCTCTCTCTCTGAACTTCGTTCTGCCCTGGCCCTCTGCGGTTCTACGGCGGCGGGCTCCGATGGTATTCATTATGAGATGCTTCGCCATCTCCCTCCGAGCACGTCTCAGTATTTACTGAGTCTGTATAATCGGATCTGGGAGTCGTCGTCAGTCCCTGAGGACTGGCTCGATGCCGTTGTCCTCCCTGTTCGCAAACCGGGGTCTCTGGGTACTTCCCCTAAGGACTTTCGCCCTATTGCTCTCACAAGTTGTGTCTGCAAACTCTTTGAACGTATGGTTAACGTTCGTCTGATGTGGTTCCTGGAACACCATCACCTCCTCTCCCCTTCTCAATTTGGTTTCCGCAAGTGCCGCAGCACGACAGATGTCCTGGTGAACTTGGAGGTCTATATTCGTACTGCTTTTGCTGCGAAGACCTCCGTTGTTGCCGTCCTTTTTGACCTAGAAAAGGCTTACGACACCACTTGGCGTTATCATATCCTATCTCAACTTCATTCTTTTGGCCTTCGTGGTCATCTCCCTCTCTTTCTCCGCAGCTTCCTCTCTCGTCGTTCCTTTCGGGTGCGCCTTGGTACCGCTCTCTCTCCCTCTTTTCAGCAATACGAAGGTGTGCCCCAGGGTAGTGTTCTGAGCACTACTCTTTTTCTTGTTGCCCTCAATGGTCTTCTTTCCTCTCTTCCTTCTGGTGTCTTCTCCGCTCTCTATGTCGATGATCTTACCCTTTGTTGTCAGGGTGATGATTCGCCTCTCCTTCAACGCCGGCTTCAACTTGCAATTGATGCCGTGTCGTCTTGGGCCACAGGTCATGGCTTCAAGTTCTCTACTTCTAAGACTTGTGCCATGACTTTTACGCGGAAACGGGTTGTTCTTCGTCCCTCTTTGTCACTTTATGGTCATCCCCTTGAATACAAAGATTCCGCGAAGCTTTTGGGGTTATTCCTTGACACTCGTTTGTCTTGGTCTCCCCATATCTCTTACCTCCGTGTTGAGTGCTCTAAGGCCCTTACCCTCCTTCGGGTCTTGTCCCATACTTCTTGGGGGGCAGATAGGCGCACTCTCCTTGCTTTACATTCCTCTCTCGTCCTGTCTAAGCTCGATTATGGTTGCCCTGCTTACTCGTCTGCTTCTCCTTCTACTCTTCGCCGTCTTGATGCTTTGCACCATACTGGGTTGCGCCTCAGTTCTGGTGCCTTTCGTTCGACTCCCATCCTTAGCTTGTATGTTGACACTGGCTTCCTGTCTCTCCAGGACCGCCGTGATCGCTACTGTCTTCGCTATCTTGCGCGGTCCTTGCAACATCCTTCCTCTCGCCTCTGTCGTGCTTTAACTTTTACCCCTCCTGCGGTTCCTGTTCCTCTTCACCACCTCCCTCTTTCTGTCCGGTTATCTCGCCTACAGGATTCTCTCTCCGTTCGTATTTCTGATGTTTCTCCTCGTGTTGTTCCTTCTTTGCCCCCGTGGAGGGTCCCTCTTCCGCGGTTTTGTACTTCCTTGACCCGTATCACTAAAGCTTTTACCCCTCCTACGGTTCTAAAACGCCTTTTCCTCGAGCACTTTTCTTCTCACTCCCGCTCCGTTTCTGTCTTCACCGATGGGTCTAAGTCAGCGGACGGTGTTGGCTACTCTGTTGTTTTTCCTGATCGCACTTATATGTGTCGCTTGCCTCCGGAGACTAGCATCTTTACAGCAGAACTTTATGCTATTCTCTATGCTCTTCGTCTCCTGCTTTCTCGTTGTCAGTCTTCCTTTGTGGTTGTTGTTGACTCTCGTAGTGCCCTCATGGCTCTCGGGTCCTTTAATCCGGTTCATCCAGTAGTTGTCGAGATCCAGCATTGGCTGTTTCTCGTTCACAGTAAATTTAAGTCGGTTGAGTTTTGTTGGGTTCCCAGCCATATTGGTGTGTCTTTAAATGAGCGTGCGGATGCTGCCGCTAAGGAAGCTGTCCGCTCTTGTCCCATCTCTCGTAAAGGCATTCCGTATTCCGACTTTTACCCAGTTATCCATTCCTCAGTTCTTACCCGTTGGCAGGCTTCTTGGTTGTCTGTTACTGGTAACAAGCTACGTACTCTTAAATGTTGTGTTTCCTCGTGGCCGTCCTCCTTCCACCGTAACCGGCGGTGGGAAACAGCTCTGGCGAGGTTGCGTATTGGCCATACTCGCTTAACCCATGGTCACTTGATGGAGCGCCGCCCTGCTCCTTATTGTCCTAGTTGCATTGTCCCTCTTACGGTCGTGCATGTCCTTCTTGAATGTCCTGACTTCCAGGACGAGCGTGTGTCTTGCTTTCCGACCGCCCCTCGCGGTCACCTGTCCCTCGATAGAATTCTTGGTGACTCGGATACTTTTGATATCGTTCGCCTTATGCGTTTTTGTTCTCGTATTGGCATCCTTGGTGATATTTAGCGCCCTCTGATTATTTTGCGTATTTGATGGTGCTACATAGCCTTCCCGGTTTGGTGCCTTCTTTTGATAATTACTTACTTACTTACTCTTACACAGGTTCCTGAAGGTAGTTCTGATGTTAGTCAGCCTCGCATACGCCGCCGATGTTATTATTTTTATGTGGGCTTCAGGAGACAGGTTTGACTCGATATCAACTCCTAGATCTTTCTCTCTGTCCGTTTTATGAAGGACTTCCTCTCCCATTCGGTATCCTGTTTCTGGCCTCCTGTTTCCACTACCTAGTTTCATTGGAAGAAAGGGAGGAGATAGAGAGAAGTGTGAGACGGGGAGAATAGTGACCGCTGGGTGGAGATGGGAGACAGAGGCAATTGGAAGAGAGGGAGAAGTGAGGAAGGAGGAGGGAAGGGAGACCCGGGCGCAGCAGGGAACCACCCAATTGGAACCTGGGTAGTTCCCTTCTGCAGCCGGAAACTGGGAAACACACCAGGCACAAAACGGAGAAATAGATACAACAATGACCAGCCTAAGGCTGGGACACACCAAACTAGCATCACACAGCTATATATACACAGGGCAGACAAAGTGCCTTATAACAACGACCACATATTACGGAAAGGAGATTTCTTGTTACCAGTGGCGGGTCGCCCGTACAGGAGCTGCTGAGCTGCAGTCCCCCCCCACCCAAGACCCTCACTGCCAGGTGTATGACTGTCAAGCACACACTAGAGCAATAAGCAACTAACAAATGTCATAACAAAAAAATCTTTATATATTTTTTCAATATATTTATAACTGAACTTTGAACATTTGAATTAAAACTAGACAAAAATAGATGTTTTGTACTGTACAATAGCATAAGCTTTATCGGCGCTACATCTGGCAACGTTGAGCTGCATTCGGTGCAGCCCAGTGTCACTCCGTCCAGCCTGTGTTTCGTGTCCACGTTGAGAGTGCGAGTATCACACAGTACTTGCAACGAACACCATTTTAAACACCACTAGCAACACCACACGTGTTGCTAGTGGTGTTTAAGTTGCTTTGAATACTTTTATAAGTTTAATTATCCTTTAACAAACAATGGCAATTATTATTATGCGCTTGTGTTAAGCTTGCAGTGACGCAATCCCTCCATTTTTTTTCCAAGAGCTCGAAACGACTCGTGCTGTCATCAGAGGAGAAAACCTTCACTCAAATTACATTATTAAGAAGAGTCTTTGGGGCCGAAGAGACCAGACAACGTCTACAGCAAGGTGAGCAGTCTTGTGCTGTACCGAACTCGCAGAATTGTCTTGAAGGTATGTCTCAGAGAATGTCTTAATATAGCAAAATATACTTGTACTCGTCGAGTACCAGAAACAGAGGAACTATACGACTGTGTGGAACGCATCTTATCTTGATAACGCGGCTGGAGTACCTCAAGTGAGAGAAAACAAGCTCACCGGCCACATTTGTAGCTCACATTTTTATCCTTATGACATTCTTATCTACTGAGAGTGAGTGCTCACGGAATATTTACCTTTTATTAAACTATTTATCAGCATACTGGGCAGGTGTGCAAGCCTAGTCTCTTCCCGCGACAGTAGACCCTAATCGATAGGCTCTTGACCTAATAAAGCTTATTTCAATATACATACGCAATGTCAGAAATGAGTCGTTGCTTTAGATTCCTCTTATTATAGACGCGAATATCCTACTTTAATTTGCACACATAATTTATTAGAGAGTTTTGAGTAATAAAGTGACCTAAACTGTGCAAATATGAGGCGTGTAAATGATAACAAGCCGTATGGAGAATTTACAGGCTAGGCTTATTGTTTTATTAAATATAAATTGGTTCTATTTTATTTTGAGCCCTTGTGATATATGCATAGGAGAATTTAGCAATTAATATGAAACATACTATGCAAATCAAGGCAGGCCTATATATGTGTATTTACAGGGAAGTGCATAGGAGAATGTGACTAGGATGCAGATATCACCTAGATAATTTGAGAGAGAGAATAGTGAATATGTGTGTTATGGACAACAACAACAAAATTTTCAGAAGGGCAGCAAAAATATCGGTTATTTTTTTCAGAGGGGCAGCATTTCCACCTTTTTTGCTTATCATTTAAAAAAGGCCAAGTTTTGACCTATTGTTATGGCCCGGGTGTTAATGCGCATTAGGTATCCTAGCAAAGTATCCAAAATTTGCTTACTTTAGGTAATGCATGCATGACTGTAAAGCTTCCACCCAGTTGGGTGGGTGTGGAGCAAGACTAGTAACTGTGTGACTCACCATACATGTAAAGTGCCTTGTATAGTGACTGTTGTGAGCCTCTTGTTGAATCACTTGTGATATAAAAAGATTATTGATATGTATATGTGTAAATGATTCGTTGCAAACGACAAAAAGTTTTAGATTTATGATTCTGGCACGAATCTTCTCGATATTCGTAATGTTTTTCTTCACTGAAGCAGGAAGATTAAAAATTAACTCTCCAAAGTTCATTTTTACTTATTATTTGGGTCTGACGCCTAGTGATGCGTTTCGTAAGGTCTCACCTCACATTCTCAAAGACAAATTCGTCTGTGTATCACCTGATTATATCCTCTAATAGTAAGGTGGTAGGTGACATGGATGAATGACATACATGGGGTATTAATGGGGTCCTATATAATGGGGTAGTAAATTAAGAGTGTGACATGTTGGCAGTTTATGTTCTTCTGAGCATAAACAGAAGGACATATCTATCTTGAACAGATAGACATGTCCATTCATATACAGTATAAAGAAAATCATGAAAATACACGGGTAAACAGGAAGATAAACACTCTGTGGACAACATATTCCCAATTTCATTTCCAAAACTCTCGACCCCCACGTGAGCCAAAAGCTCTTAACCTCTAGGCCACAACAGTGAAGATTTGAGACAGCAAACCACTGTCCATCTGAAGTTTTGTACTTCACCCAGCCACTGACGGAGAGCTTTTGCCTCAAGCTCGTGGGGTCGAGAGCTCGAGTCTCCCAGAACCCAAGTGAATTAAATTTTGATTTCCACGATAGATATATATCAATATCAATTTATATACGGTTCCTTGCATCTCTCTGCTGCTGCTGCCGGAAGAGCAGTTGTCGTGACAGTGAGAGATGGCTTATATTCTAAGGAGCTCGAATAAATAACTGGGCCTCCAGTCTTCAGACATAATTGATTGTAATACTCCTTGCACTCAAATGAGTAATATATTCAAAGTAGACACATTAACTGTGACTGTCATCAATGATAGATTTAAAGTCTGTTTCCTTTGGAAACCATGTTTTATTGATCTCCGTATGCATGATTAGACTAAAGAGTTTTTCAAAGCATTTGCTCTTAAAGATGGAGTTGATTACCACCTTGAGCAGCCTGAGGGCAGTAATATACTGAGCTATTTTGAGGTTATCTTGAGATAATTTCGAGACTTAGCGTCCCCGCGGCCCGGTCCTCGATCAGGCCTCCTTTTTGTTACACACCTTCTAGGAAGCAGCCCGTAGCAGCTGTCTAACTCCCGGGTACCTATTTACTGCTAGGTAACAGGGGCATCAGGGTGAAAGAAACATTTTGCCCATTTGTCTCCGCCTCCACCGGGGATCGAACCAGGAACCTCAGACTACGAATCTGAAGCGCTGTCCACTCAGCTGTCAGGCGAGTACTCCATAAAATTAAATAAACTGAGGAAAAGTAAAATTTACAGTAGATATTCTATCAGCATACTACTGTGTGGGAAGAGTCACATACCTATGGGTCATCCAGTAAAAAATATTTAAGAAATTTATAGGTATTTCATTAAAAAATATGCACTACCAGAAATCTAGCCAAAGATCACAAGTTGGCTTACTGTAGAGTGTAAACACGTAATTTTAAATTATAATTTTGATTTGCTTATCATGCACCCCCGCACACACCCAGCTGGGGGTGGTGGAAAGTTCAGCTTAGCCTAAAGATTGTTGTGGTCCAGGTCTCGGACCCATGAGGCTATAAAAGGCTGTTGATATATTTATTTACCTATATAACTAGCCTATCAAGATAGAAAATTGCTTAGCTAAATGAATTTGGGGGGTTTAGTTCCTAAGCCAGTTACGCCTTTCTGTAATGTTTCCAATACCGCCCACAGGATGGGTATGATGTCCACTACTGATCACAGGATTGGTATGGTCCACTATCACTCGCAGGATGGATATGGGGACCACTACCGCTCTCGAGATGGGTATGTGATCTACTACCGTTCGCAGTATGAGTATGTGGACTACACTGCTCACAGGATGGATATGTGGACCATTACCGCACACAGAATGGGTATGGGGTCCACTACCCCTTACAAGATTGGCATGGCGTTCACTACCGCTCACAGGACTAGTATGGGGTCCACTATCACACGCAGGATGGGTGTGGGGGACCACTACTGCTCTCAGGATGGGTATGGGGGTGCATAATAAATGAAGTAAACTTAACAACAGTAGACAGCCACTTGAGCAGCGGGTTCTCACTATCGTGTAATAGGGTTTATCTCAGGGTTAAATTCATTACATCACCAATGGACGGCAGGCTACATAAACATTGATAAACAACGACGTTGCCTCAGTTGCCTATCTGTGTCGTTCGATCCCTGTGGCAGCTACCGCTTTCAGTTGGACCACCAACCCTTCCATCGTGGGATAAGTGTTATTTGGGGGTGCATTTGACCCGGACGAACTTGGGTTTAACGCCACAAATTTTAAGTGTCTTTCCATAAAAGCAAAATCGTCAAGTGCTTATTTCGTACCTGATACGCAGGTCGGGTAGTCTGCCTTAACATATGTGAAGTAAGTTGAATAATGCTTAAATATTCTTGGGAGTGTAAAATGAATGATGTGTATAAGAGTTGTATACTGTGTACTTTGGCTCCATGCAGATCATGTCTTGGGGCTCCACTGTGCAACAGTTTAATGGTTGGTAAATGTTAATATTCTTGTTTTATGTCATGTCATTCCCTTCCCCCCCTCCCCTCTTCCCATCCCAGATGCTTATCCTGATCCCTTCTAAGTGCTATATAGTCATAATGGGTTGGCGCTTTCTCCTGATAATCCGTTCGCTCTTCGAGGACTATTTTAAAATAAAATATTTAGGTAGCCTATGAGACCAGAGCGCGAATATAGGTGTCAGTATCAACTAGCCTGTTATAGGAGTCTTGGGGGTTGTGTAGCTTTGGCTGTCCCGCTAATATCATTTATTTCAGGATTCTTCCTTCTCAAAACACTGTTGTGCAGGTTGTGCAGGTCTCAACTACTAAGGCGACCTAATTTTGTCTCATATCTACTACTACTCTCCGACACACACACACACACACACACACACACACACACACACACACACACACACACACACACACACACACACACACACACACACATACACACACATACACACACATACACACACGCACGCTCAGGAATCTGTACACCAGTTGATTGACAGTTGAGAGGCGGGACCAAAGAGCCAAAGCTCAACCCCCGCAAGCACAATTAGGTGATTACACAGAAGCCCGTAGCAGCTGTCTAACTCCCAGGTACCTATTTACTGGCAGATGAATAGGTGCATCAGGTGAAAGAAACTTTGCCCATTTCTGCTTTGACTGGGAATCGAACCAGGGCCCTTAAGACTATGACCCCAGAGCGTTGTCCAGTAGGCTGCATGTGTGTTTTGACAGTGTTAGAACTCCCCCCCTCCCTCGTGCACAGTAGTACAGTGTACACCGTATGTACAGAGTACATCCTGGTATCTCCCCTCGTCATGCTACTGGAGGTGAGGTGGTGGGCAGGGACCCGGTGAGCCCCTGGCAGCCCCGGGTCACAGCCCTGACCTCACCTCCCCCCCATCCTCACCAGCACATCCTTCACCTACTGTAGCAGGATCTCCGTAAGAGGGTGGGAGCGCGCCGGGCTTCTCACAGGTGCCTCTGTTATTAGAAATTAACTTTTTTATTTTTTATTTTTTTAATGCGGTTCATCAGGTATAAAATGCTATAAAATGTGTGTAACAAATTTCATAATTCCTAGTTAGTGGTAATCAACCGCTCTCACTACTCCCCTCCCATTCACTACAACACCTGTCCCATCCTCACTACTCCCTCTCCCCAACACCTGTCCCACCCTCCAATATCAGACCTCTCCATCCCCCCCCTACTCTTCCTCCCTCCCTGTCTCCTCTCCCCGGCGGTAAACAAGGGCCGGTCAGACCAAATTCAAGTCGAC